TAAGAAATTAGGTTATCATCGCTTTTTTGAGCTAACAATGGAGTACGTAAATTAAATTGATAAAAAATTTAATATTACTAATGCTAATAAACATCTTTAAAACAATGTAAAGAATTTATTGCAAAAAAGTATTTAAGAATGACGATAATCGACAATACTATAATTTATTCTTTTCATCGAATATCGATGTTTACGTAGCATAGATAACGACAAAGCATTACGTGTCATTTTTAATTCTTCGGGTCCGTATTTATTAATTCCATTATTATTTAAATATTTTCGTTTTCAAACATTCCATAAAATTATAACTTCAGTATTATATAAAAAATATCACAAAAAATGTTTCACAAACGAATCTTATATGATATCATTATCACTTAAGATTAAAGAATTAAATATAGAAAATTTGTGACGAGTGATAATTCTATTGTTAGATTTGGATATTTAGACATCTGTGTTCAACAATTCTAATTGTTGTTACAAAAAAAAAAGAATAATTTAAATAATCTTTATAAGAAAAGAGAAATATTGTCGTGAATACTCTTTCCGCAATGAACTTTTTACCTGTCTTGCCCATCGGTGGTTGTCCTAATCTACTGAACCACCTGAAGAATCTTCTGGCCGTTGTGGCCGCTGGTGGTCTGCAGCCATCTAAAATAACCACGCCATTGTTGTTATTATTGTTGTTGTTGTTAGATCCTCCACGATCCGGTGGTGCCGTCCTGCTGTAGGGCGACATCCAGGCCGTCGTCGTGCTCTGTATGGTGGCACCCTTGACGGTGGTGATGGAACTGGTTATCTTGGCGCCCGGGTGGGGCACCCAGTCCTCCGAAGCGACCGGCATTTGTCTCGTCTTCTCGTCAGACGAGTCGAAGACGAAGCCGCAGAATACGAAGGTCATTCAAAGTTGCTTGCCGCCCTGCCGCACTAGTAATAATTAAAGCCCTCTCTTCCGGAGGAGGGAGAGGAATTCCTCTGCTTCTTGCCCTCGATGAGAACTCTTTAACAATTTTCTCGCATCGACACCTTGAGTAATGTTGCGATGCTATAAATCTCGAAAAATCTTGAGTAAAAATTCTTTCAAATATCGAAACTCTCTCTCTCTCTCTCTCTCTCTCTCTCTCTCTCTCTCGTATCTGCGAGTTCGATATATTCAAAACGAGATTAACATGAAAAACATCAAGCTTTTGAATTTTCGTAGCAAAATACGCTCGCGTTGCTTTGATCCGCGATTCGTCTCGACTGACCACTCTCGCGATTTGTTGCTCGCTCGCGGAATCTCAAATCCCTTATCAGCGACGACCAAATGTTATCGCTGTCGCGTGCGTCAGCTGGTCTTACGTAAGGACAGACACTGTAATTGATTCGAGCGCGCTGCGCTCGCCACGTGCTCTCCCTTCAACTTGTTGCGCATTTAACGCAGCCGATGCTCCGAAATCGATCGGGACTCCGAAACGTGAAAGGACGTGTCGCGCAGTGTCGGTATTTAAATCCTTGCTCTCGATCGCGAAGACATGTAGTAAGATTCCGTTTCCTGGATAATCCAGTAGAAGCGGTTTCTTCAGCGGAATCGACTATGAGACGACGGTTCACTTGTTGAGCTTACGAGACACAGCTTGGTGGGACTTTCACGAAGTCCCCCGGTGATTCTCCAATTAATCCAGGATCCTCCTATCACAGAGTTAAGTCTCCTTAGAACACGGATCCGTTAATCGAGAAGAAATTATTACACGTCGGCTATAAGATTTTATTATTTGGTACGTTACAAGGTACTCCGTTTCCAGAGGTTGCAGCCTCACAAAGTAATACTAAGATCTGTTTTTCTTTTTTTTTTTTATTCCTTTCACTAAATCGCACTAAAACTCTTTCTCCTTTCGCCAAATATCGAACATATATTAATCTCACTTTAAGTTCCAAAAATGTATACTAGTTCAGCTACAGACTTATTGGCTCCGTTCATCGTAAAAACTCGCATTACCACGACGTGTCTCGTACCGTCGAATACGACGTCTGTACTACGTGTGGCGTGACCACGATGTCGTCGTTGCGCAGCACGCTACTACAGAGCACTTGGAGGTCGAGGTTAGGTATATATAATTTCTCTTCCTTTTTCCTTCTTTCTCCTCTCTCTCCGTCTCTCTATCACCGGCCGGTCGTGCTCGGTCGATCACGCAGCTCCCTCATTACTTGCGCATCGCCGCGCTGCGGAGAACTATCATCGCCGTGCGCAGTTCATTCGCCCTGAACGCGAGCAGACGACTCCGGATTCCGACAACTTCGGACAACGACGGTTACGGTCGTTCGCTCAGCCCGCTGCGTCTCTCTCTCTCTCTCTCTCTCTCTCTCTCTCTCTCTCTCTCTCTCTCTCTCTCTCTTACGACGAGGACGAAGGACGAACAGGTCGTCGTGGAATTTCACTGTACACGTCTCCACGATGAGGAACCAGTCACGATCGTATCACGTCACTGATAGCTGACGAAATGAAAATCACACTCGCGAAAAACACGCTTCTAACCCATCCTGAAAAGAAGACACGGTGCGCCGGTTGCGCAACTCTCGGAGGACACCTTTTTCTCGCCTCGTACTCCACTCAGGATTGCACCCGCGTGCGCGCGCGCGCGCGCGCGTCCACCCGCGTGCGTGCGAACGAAGGACGACTACGAGAAGACCGGAATACGCTCGCTCGGATACGCTCCTCGAGGGCTCACGATAGACTCCGCTGCTTCTCTCGACGCTCGCTAACGTATACCACCTCGTCGTGCCTCTCTTTCCACCACCTCGGCCACTGTACGGAACACGACCGCGGTACGACTCGCGCGTTGCTCGTAGAAGACTGCCACTAATTCCCCCCCACTGGCTTTCTTGCGGCTGCCCCGCTCCACGACACGCACACCCGCGCGCGACCATAACTTACCACTACCACCACCACCACCACCACCACCACCACCACAATTCGCCACCACTACCTGCGCGACCGCTCGCCCCACGTCACGCACGAGGCTGCGTAAAGGCCCTATCACGTCGCACACTTTGGAGACTCGATTCAAAATTGCTCCTATGCTTGTTTCTATCAACGTAGATTGACATAAATCTCAATTCAACTTACTCTCCTCTTTTTTTATTCATACAACTAGAAGAAAATAGTTCGTTGAACCGAGATTAAAATTCAACTAGGTAAAAGCGAGCACTGGACTGGTTTAGTGCTCGGACTTACTTCAAGACCCACTTAATCACTATCTAGTTAACTTGTTTGGACGTAACTTTACTTAACTTGATAATAATGTAAAAATTGTGTTTTATTAGCTAAGATTAACTCACTAAACTAATAGTCTTGTAATGCTACTTTAAGTACTTAAAAAATTATTAATTATAGATCAATTTAGTGATTAATCATAGTTAGAAAAATATAATTTTTCATTTACTTTTAATTAAGCCTAACCAGAAGTTAACCAGAAAATGAAAAACGTGGCTTTTGAGTAATGTCATAAGATGTTAATACAGTTCTCTGATCGATGATATCTGTACTTAAGATAATCTTAAATGCAACAATCGACTATGAACACCACTCTAAAGTCGGTTAGTTCACAAATAAACAAATCTCACATCTATACGAATATCGAAAGCGGAATCGTGTACAAATATCACGAACAAGTATCGGTCGATCTTCGTTTGTAATCGTGTGACACATTTAATGTTCATTTCTAGCAATGTTATAGATTAACTTTAACCTGAGAATCACTGAAAACAAAAACATAGTTTAATAACAGCTGCTCAAATGTTGAGTAAAATTTTTGTATTTTGATTTTTCTGAATTTTCTGGCTAATTTCTACCTTTAACGGAAAGCGTGAAACGGCCTTAAACGTTTCTTTATCTCACTGCTCCTTCTCCTATCGTCTTGCTCTGTCTGCCTGCAAACCTACATGTATATCTTTATCTCTTTTCCTATCCGTGACTAGACCGGTCTTTCGTGAATACACGCGCGGTATACACAACCAAGCATGCCTAATACTTCCCTCTACAACACTACACGATGCCGTACGTCTATTGGACGATGCCAGGTCGGCAGGTCGGCAGGTTCGTCGTTCACGGATCTAAATCGAATCTCTCATAGAAAATATTTTCAGGAACGTAATAATCTGTATATCCGTAACCGAAAAATATACAAGAACTGAAAAAAAAAAAATAAACAAATACAGAAATATAAATGTTAATAATAAATGAAAAAAAGCAACGAAAATTCTAGCATATTTTCTCTTACATCTTTGTACTCCCCAAAAAGATACAGGCGAGACGATGGGACGGAGATCACTATTCGAGACGTGAATCTGCTTCACATTGGATATCGCGTGCATATATATTGTGCACGAGACGAGAGAGAAGCGTAGGCGGTGCAGTGCAAGTACACGCACATGTACTTGTACGTGTACGTGAATGCACGTCGAGCCAAAGAGGAGGGACCGAGAGATCGGGCCCACCGTGACTGACAGAGAGTTGCTCTCTCACGCATATGTGTACTCGTGTATGCACGGCACGTGTGTACGTGTGCGTGTGCACGACTCGACTGCATCCCCACTTAATACGATGCACCGAGGTGGTTTTACCTGAGTGCCGTAATCATACAGTCTCGTCGCGCCATGTTCGAAAGTTTCTAAACTCCTTCGACCCTGTCACGCACCCTGCGAGACCACGCATGAGAGATTCAATCGAGTGACGAAAATATGTTTAATAACAATAGACAATCTCTTTTCTTTCATTTCCAAACGCATCGAGTTACAGTGTATGGTCAAATTATTAAAGCTACAGTTTGGAGAATGTGCCTTTTAAATCTCAATCAGTGACATTCAATTGAAAAAGAAAGGGAGTTTGAGTATTATATAATTAAAATATCGTTATTTACGTCAATTCCAATACCATATACATTGAATTTATAGACTAAAGCTAAGTTAGATAATCCATGTTTCATTGATTTTTTTTAGTTGAATTTACTGTGAATTCACTGATTTCCAGTGGTATATTTGCGACTGCTATTAGTGATTATCCCCTGATTCAAATTTAGAGAGTGTTTTTTGTGAGTTTAAGTAGAAATAAAATCAATATGTATAAAGGTTTGTGCATATAATTTTTAATAGACGATTGTGCACTAAAATACACTAAAAAAGTAAACTTAGCTTATGTAATTATAAATCATAAAGTAAAAAATGACAATAAAACGAATATTTATAATAATATTTATAACGCCTTTTGCTGTAATTACCGCGTCAATTTGTTTGGGCATATTTAAGCAGTTTATCGCTTCACTCTTATCTCACACATCAATCGATCATTCGATTAATTGATATTTGTTAGTAGTAGTACATTCATTGGAAATTTCCTTCTTCATCAATTCCCAAAGCTTCTCGGTGGACAGTTAAAATCTAGAGAATTTTCAGGCCAATCAAGAATCTAAATTTTGTTTCATAATGAGAGATAGTGATGCCGAAAAATTTGTAAACATCAATATTTTATTTTTTTAAAAATAAGAGATAGTGTTATCTACAGTGGTGCCAAAGGTATATTTAAAATTTGTAAACATCAATATTTTATTTTAAAAAAATATTATAATAACAATACAGAGTAATTGTTTTCATTTAAAATTAATTACTTTGACCCAAAGTTAATTTGTGCAGATAGCTCTTGAGATTCTCCAATAAAAGTCTGGATACAAACCGCAGTTTTGTATACAAGATAATAGTTTGAACAAAAATCTACAGGAGAGACATTATACATGTACTATTTTGTTTTTCTTCCTCATTATTGTTCTATCTTTTTCTTATTTATTTCTCTATCTCTCTTTCGGGAAATGTTAAAACATAGCAGACCAATCAAAAGTGACTTTCTCAAGTCCAGACTCTTATTAGGGGATTTTTATAGGTGTATAATTTAATCTCTAATAATTTAATCACTCACTGTAGATCTAACGTTTTCAGTTCCAGCATGTTGACTTTTCGATTCTTCGTTTTATCTTCGAGCGAATAATCACTCGACGGATGAAACGCCATGCAATAGCGCGAACCTTTCCTCCCTGGTTCGCCGAGATCGAAATGCGATTCATATTCAACGTTATCGACCTTTATTGTATCCTCGATATTTGCTACGAGGTCCAATTTATCGGCGCTCCAAGAGCGTGACGTTCACGCGCGTTGACCACGTCCGCGTTCTCAGAACCGGTCAATTGATTCGCTGATAAGTCTAAACAGCGATTCGACATATACGGTCGATAAGTGATCGCTCGGGCAGTGTATGCTGGTTGCTAACGAAGGAAAACGGGGAAGAGAACAACGCGCGGGATGCGAAAGGAAGGAATGAAGATAGACAGGAAGATAATAGAGTGAAATAGAACAGGAATCTATTGTAGACTTTCCAGAGAACAAAGCTTTCAGAATAACTCGTAAGATTGAAGCGCATCAAATCGACGCGAATTAGTACATGAAGAAAAATATTATAATTGCGTGAAATACTACACGGAAAGAACGATTTTGTTGAAAGCTTTCTAAAGTTTTGCTGGATATACAGATCTATAAATAATTTGGTTGAACCATCAAAATACCTATTAAAATAATTATGCTGGAAACTAAAAAAAAAATGATGAGCGAAAAATGTTGCTGCACCGTAAGAAATATTCTAGCCACCGGTTTGTGGATTCCCAGTAAAATTATTTTTATCGTCCAACAAAATTATTTTCAGATCCATATCCAGCAAAATTTTATGCTTCCAACAAAATCGTTTTTTCCGCGTAGATTCCGCGAAACCGAACAATAAAAGCGGATAAAATATTGCAATTTAAGAGTAAGACAAAGAATTTAAGAATTTAACAAAAAAAAAAAAAAGAATATAAAATATACAAAGAAGCAAAAACGTAAAACTATTAATGTAATATTATGTACCTTTAATTACTGAGACGTGCGTAAATGCACATACGAGTATAAGAGAGAAGAATAAGGAAAAGCAAAGCGAGAGGAACTCATTTTTCCTCGGTAATTTTTTTCTTTCGCATACCATTGACAAAACAGGTGAACGTCGCATTCTCGTTAAAAATGGAAAGTCGAGGCAATTATTATTCGGACGAGCGGCGTAACAGAGCCCGTTCCAAAGACGAAGTAAAAACAGAAAGCGTGTCCGCGCATGAGCGCGAATGCAACAAGACTTCACGCCCGTATGTGGTGGCATTTATGTCCATCGTTTCTGCAGACAAGACATACTACAGAGGGTTTTGGACACAGAGACGCACGTAAGCGATACGTTGAACCTCACATTACCGCAAATGCATATGAATTACGGTTACAAAGAGTTCTATTACAAGCGAATATTTCATGGAAACAAGAAACGGAACGAAGAAAAATGCTATTTAGAGTCTTAGATCGACACGTGGATTTTTTTAAACTATAAAACATTGCTTCTGTCTTAATTACAATCCAATAAAACGTTCAAACGTAAAAAAATTTTTTTTTTATATGTATATGTTTGTAAATACTATTTTAATTTTATGTTGAAATATTCTAAGAGAATAATTTTCGTTTATATAATTTTTTTTGCTGGATTAATGATGTGACCTTAAGCAATATATTATATAAAGAAATTGTTGGTTTAACGTTTTCAGTTTTATAAAATAATGTGTAAAGCTTTATAAATTAAGTATGCATTAAAAATTCTTGTCTACTGCGACTTTTGATAATTCATATGCAATCGACATGTTCAAATGAAGATAATAGAATAATAATGAATAGATTACTAGAGGTAGATAATGGTAAAATAATATATTTCCTT